GAGTATTTTACTGAAGTTGAAAAATGGGTATTGGATTTGATTGATCTTAAAGTTATGGAATTTATTCGACATGGATTACATATCTTGCCTGAAAGTTGGAAAAGTAATAGTTTCTGACAAGACATTCTTTTTTTATACTCATAAGTTTTTTTATTCTAACAACTTATGGTGGGACGTTGGGACACCGCACCGTAAAACAAGTGGCCCCACTGAAGTGAAGGATTAGCCGAAGTCGATCGGATATCGTTATTGAGTTAAAGCTGAAGTGGCTTCCGTTTGCATAACTACAATTCTTGTTAATGCAAGCTGCTCATTTAGCTTTAGGTTGCCTGCCAAGACATCACCAACACAATGGTGTCCCAAGACCGTCTTCCTCCTAGTTGCCAGTGCTGAACATTGGCACAATATAGGTATGCACCGCTGTCACATTTTCTTCATGACATAGTCTGCAAGTGTCTTCCTCAGCAAGAGTTATCTTTTTGAGGTGATGGCGGAGACGTGAACAATATGAGTTCTAACAAACAATATGAGTTTATTTTCATATAAAAGGTTTAAAACTCACACACCCACACGCACTCCGTAGACACAACCAGCTTATCTGCAAAGTTAAGCTGTTCTGCTATAAGCAACTTATTCACCCTCTACTCACCTACGCCTTCCCCATTTGGTTTGCAATCTCTTCCGTCCAAATGGAAAGAATTCGCCTGTTTGAGCGGAAACTTCTTCGGGATTGCACCAACTACAAGCGCAAGCCAAACGGAAAGCACTTTTCCATCTCTGTCTTTTACGACAATGCCAAGATGACTTGCATTGACGAGTACCTTTTGACACTCGCTCGTAGGTACCTCACCTGGTTCCACGACCTCCCCCCTGACGTCTATATTCCTATATAACCCTTCCTGAAGATCTTGTTCTAACCTTACGCTTTGAACCACCCCAATACCTGTCCCACTACCTCAATGAGTGGGACTGTAACCTCCACTCCATTCCCCTATATAACCGCGGCTTTCGTGACCCCAGTCACAAAGTTTACCGCTAACCTCGTCCCCGCTCATCTATTCTATGGAGAATTGAGATGGAATAATCCATATACTCGCAGTGTTTTGATTTTAATTCTTGTTTTTGTATATTTCGTAAGTATCGTGCTTAAGTATTTCGATTTATTTCAGCACAATTTTAATTTACATATAAGCTTTACCTGTAAATTCACACACAGTCACAATAGCAAAAAAGGATGTAGGAGAAGATTACCTGACTTAGTCATTTTTAACCAGTTTAATTACGAGGAATTTGTTTTACTCAAATAACAATTTAATTTGAATTAAAAAAAAATCAAATATATAACACATAACCTTTTCTAATTGAGTTTTCATCCGTAATAGAAAAGGATTCATATGACGGCATATGCACGAACATAACCATGAAAAATATCTGGTAACACATATAAAAACCAGTGGACCGCATCCTTAAAATACACACA